AACGCTAAAATTAAGGACCTACCCTTCAATAAGGTCGAATGTGATACGATGGCGAAACAGGGCGATCAAAATGCGCGAAAGAGCATTTCGTCGTCTTTGATCGTGTCGTTTGAGAGAGCAGGTTGATCTTTAGATTAAGGGAATTCAGATTGAGGAGGGGAAGCCATGAGTCATCAAGCGATGATTTTGTGAGGGTATAATGAACCTAGCTCAGGCTGAGAGATGTACAGTAACAATAAGGAATGAAGGAAGCAACTGGTGGGAACACGTAAAAATATTGATAACAGTACCTAAATTTATTTTGCGTGTTGCAATGTCCTGACTGGTTTATACATAAAAGAAAGAAACCAATGAATTGCCTAGCTATCTTATCTTTCCCGCAGAATAAGTTGACAGCGGATTCAACAGAACTTTGGAAGGTTCGAATGGCCTAAGGCTTTTCCGAAGGTATTTTCCTTTCTAACTACATTTCCGGGCGGAAGTGGTGTAGTGACAAGTGGCGCGCTCACCACGCGAGCGGTCCGGGGATCAAATCCTGGGTCGTGAGTCGCCCGGGCCATCCGGGGTCGGTTAATTGGTACCAGACTTGTCTGGGAGGATAAAAACACTGACTTGTACATCGGCTGGCCCCGCAAGTCATTGTATAGGCCACATCGCATTCAAACGCCACTACGAATGTACAAATGGAAGTAGAATGCGTGCCGCATCCCAAAAAGGGATTGATCAACGGCAAATGCTTTATCCTTTATCCTTTATACATTTTCATTCCTAGTTTAGAGGCTGCTGAGATGAGGCTTCAAGTGGAGCTCATGGGTTACTCTATTTCCAGTGTACGGCTTATTTTTCAGTTCGTAGGAATGAGCATGAGGAAGTTGTTTGACGTCGAGACCGCCGACCAGAGAACAAGCAGTGGTCAGTGGCGATGAGAAAGTGACGCAGCACGGAGACGCAGACACACTGAAGCGATTGCGGTAGCTTGGAGATACGGTAGCGCGTGAAAGAGCGAACGACTCCACTCACCTCTCACAAGAACTCTGCAGGACGGAGAACCTGCTGAACGGAGCACAACCACACCACAGTGGTGCAGTTCAAGGTATTGTATGTGGATATGTTTGATATTATTGAATTTTCAGCAAATATGAAAACAAGCCAAAAATCAAACAAAAATTGAGCTTGTTAAACAAGTTCACTCATGTCGGTCTGACTTCTGGTAAGTATCACGATTTGATCAGACGCGCTGTGTCGACTCTAAAATAAGCACCGTAAGGAAAGTAAGTGGCAGTGGTTACGGTAGTAAGAAGGTGAGCACGAGCTTCACGACTGTCACGTCCTGTCGCCAGCATTGCGAAGCCTCTATGGCACCGTGGGTAACAGGTCTCTAGCTCGATTGTTGTTCTTCCGACATCATGGAAGTATTCACAGTGGAGGTTGGCCTGGCCAGCCGAAGCCATCTTTTAGGTAGCAATAAGTCACCCAGAAGTCACGGTCTATACAGGAGGGCATTCAGCTGCCAAACGAGCTGATGCCCCTAAATGCAGTGACCACAGCTGGCACTGGCGAATACTCTTCTTCGTAGCGAGTTTTTCAAGGACCCTGGGTGAACCGTAAACGAAACCTGAAAAAAATGCAGCTGTCGATTCAGAAGTCAAATCTGTCGCCCCCTCTTGTGTGCGTGCTATAGTGACGGACGAGTTGTCATCGCCCGTGGCGATTGTTGGTCAGTCGGGCTGGACGTCGTGTTTTCGCCGTTGTGCATGGCATCGAAAAACACTAATTTGCAAATGGGATCTGGTCATCGGATTATCGGTTTAAGGAGCTGAACGCTCTCTGCAAAACCCCTACTGACCACGCCTTTGAACTGAAATTCAGAACACTACCGTGAATTTATGTGACTCAGAATCCAATACACGGGCTTGACGGTGTTTGCATGTAGCTAGCCACTAGGCTACAAAGAAAAGAGCCGATGCTACGATTGAAAGGCAGCCACATAAACTCAGGGATCCCTTTTTACTCGTGATAAG